GTTCGCAGTGGCCTATTTAATTGTACATAAATTAATTTTGTGCATATGAATGGACTTGATTGTGGATATTTTCCATAGATCCTTACTAAAAAAGGAATATAATTCTTACAGAATTACCCAAGTGTTCATGTTTCTTTTGGAAACTGCTCAGAACAGAAATTTGAAGTTCGACATGGCAATAACTCATACTGAACCGTGAATCATCCAACATATTTATATGAAAAGTTTAGGTACCTATATAAAGTATCTATACAGAAGATTTCCTTTTACTTTTGATGGAAAAGCATAAAAACAAGGAGCTTACTAATGTAGGTTTTTTAATTTCAATACGGATTGTGAAGTTTTTAAGGAAATTGTGCCTCGAAACTAGGTTTCTTTTATTAATGTTTAAAATTTGTGCAAGTAAAATTATTAAACTGACAGATAATTTTGGTGTGCACCTTAATACTACCAAAGAAAGAAAACGAAGCTTTTCTATCTTACAGTTGCCAACAAACTTAGTTGTGTTGCCTTTTTAACTAATTCGTAATAATGTTTTGTCGAATTTGCGATAGGTCGGTAGGTAAGTCATGATTATGTACAACTTCAGACATTTGAAAAAATGTGGAATGTTAAAAATTTGGCAAATAAAACTGAGAATGAGACAAACACAGAATTAGAGTATCTATGTTTAAATATTGGACTTTTAAACTAAATATACGATTAGAGAGTTAATTATGTACATATAAAATTTTCATTTGTGATTCTCAACAATTTAGAGGTTACGATAGAGTTTGTATTGATCACAACGCTGTTGCAAGGATGCAATTAAGGGTTTTGCATTAAGGACTTACATAAACTTTAGTTGTTGGGTTTGATTTTTTTTAACTGAAAGCACAACTTTCTCTGGTCTTTAGACATTTTTAGTTATTGAAGTTTGCACCAAAAGTAAGCTTTATCAAAACCTATCTTCTGTGTACGTTTTCCATTTAAAGATGTTTTAAAAAACTTCGCCATTTACTCTCACTTACACTGTAGTGCTTGGTGGTGAATAGGGCTGCAGGACCCTTTCAATCTTCTTTAGGAATCGTGAAAATTAGCGGATGGTGGTAGTCAGGGAGGAAAAAGCGAGAGGAATGGGATGAATGCAACAGAAATGTCAAATATTACTGACCCAACGTTCATGAGATCTAACCGTTAAACCACCCTGCTCGGTTCTAATACGTTTTGGAACTTGTCAATAAAATATCTACAATTTTTTGGATCAAATCATACATATGGTAAGAATGAATTAAGTTCAATCAGTCAGAAACTACGAGGCGTGCTAATGAGATCAAATAATATCGAAATCGCGACGTCCGCGTCTGGTAGTATCGAGTTTAATAGATAACGACATACTGTCACAACTCGATACAGTGGTGGATTAAGGGGTGGGTGAAGGTGACCGTCCGCATTCGGTCCTGGGTGCCTTCAAATTTCAGTAATTCCAAAGTAATTCATTTTAATATTTTACAAAATATTCGCCACACGCTACAGTACCTACTGCTTAGTTATAGCGTCAACTTACAGTACAAACTGAACAACTTCGGATACACATATGATAAATGTCAAGTACCTATAGGTAATGCAACCGTTTCAAGGATTTGATAAATTTGAATAAAAATATGTCAGTATGTTCGAGTTTGTCGTCGTTATTATCTTGAGTGACAAATTTGCAGGACATTTAAAATTAACGTTACATCAGAGTTGTCATTACAACCGATGTTGTTATAACGAAGTTCCATTGGACAACATTACAATAGCAGACCGCGGGGCCTCATTCCGTTCTGACGTCCCGAGCCTCCTTTGGTATTCAATGAGCTCGTTGAATAGTACGTGTAGAATGTGTGTGGTATTGCTTGTAATGGTAACAAAAGTAAATTAACATTTACGGTAGTAAGTAAAGTAGGATAGATAAGTTTCATGTTACAGTCAACCGCAGTGTCGTCGGCTACTTCGGAAAGGTTATTGACCACAGTCTCGATCTAAAGGATATTTGAATTGAAGTTATCAGCAAATATTTACCGGCAGTTGCACCGGTAATGTAGAGCATCATCATTTATTTGTTAATACATACAGATACACAGTTATGCAGATGTATTAGTGGCTGCCATAAATCTTTCCTCTTATTGCGGAACGCTACTTTAAATTTACTTCCAAAACAAACATTACCAGTCGCATCGGCGCGGCGCTAGAGTCGTTATTATGTTCAACATCTTCAAAATAGCTTACCAGACGCCGGTGCCGCGTTATACCTTTGAAACCTTCTGCATAATTTTTGAACTATAATAAACTTCCAACTTATGTAGGTAATACAACTAAAGGTGTTTTCCTTTTCGAATAAGCAATAAACAGCGAAGTTTCCACTTACCCATATAGGTACTTCTCTTTTTTAAGTGAAAAATATGAGTTTTGAAAGCAGCTCACCTCGGAAGAGTCGTTCATGTAAAAATATGTATTTGTATTACTTTGGTTCAACGAGAATTTAATCACTTGTGAATTTCTCCAAATCATGCAGTCTAACACAATACAGACCAATTTCTTACGTTGATGTAGATTTTGAGAAGGAAATTTGTAATAATTTTTAACTACCACGAGAATTGTACAAAATCTAACAGGACGGTACTCATATGAAATTTTTCAAACGCTTGAAGAGGAAAGAAAGAAACCGAAATTATAGGCAATAATGAGGACTTCTAAGACTAATGACTGTCATTTGTTGCGCTATTCTTCTGTAATTTTGGTTTCTCTTTTACGAATTTGTTCCCTTCTTTCCGTTCCCTAAATGTCACCAAGAACACATCATCATCATCATAAGTTCGTCAGTCCTAAGACTGGTTGGACACGCACCTCCAGTCTTTCCTATACTTATTGATGACATCCCCCAAGGTAGTCCCCGCCCGGACATCCGAATGGGGGACTAGTTTATGTCCGGAGTGCTTTATCCCAGAGGATCTCATCATTTAAATTGTGTAGTACATTTTACTCGGGATCATAATGTAGTGGTTTCCACGTCGCAGTATTGTGCAACAGAGTGCCATACCGATCCTCATAATCTCTGCCACCCTGAGTACTGAAAAAGCTGCTGCCCTCTTTGAGCGACTTGTCTTAGTCTGGTTGCTCTTTAATAACCCCCCATTATGGTGGAACCTATGGTTCGGCTTCCTAAATCATCGAAACTCGCAAGCCGATCCATCCACTCTAGTTTGTACAAGAGTTTCGTCAAGGTTCAAGTTCCGTCGGATCAGAACAATGTTCGATTTTTAAACGTCCATTAGCATTTCTTTACTTTAGCTTCAAATCGAGGCGTTGGTCAATCGGGAATATATTCTTAGATATAGCATTAGCATTCGGAAGGACACCACCTTCCTTTGTCTAAATATTCGTGTGGTTTCCTTGGATCGTAAAGGCAAACAAAAGGGCACTATGGTGATATTTCACAGATGTTCCTTCACTTTTATATTGTTTTCAATTAGTCCGTCTGCCCCCTTTTTGAAACTTAAAACTGCCACCCTGGTTTTTCCACGATTGACAAAAGAGCTTGAAGAGGATCTTCTGCATTCCCCCTAATTTGTACTACACTGTGGATTGTTGAGACAGTCCAATATTTAGAACTTGTTAACGAATTTTGAAATAAACGTTTAACGTTTTAAAAAATTTAAATTATATACTTTAATATTAGAGCCAGCAATAACAATGAATTCTATGTTCGATCTTGTTCGGATTAACTGACCTAATTAAATTAAAAAAAAGAATATTTAATTCAGAACAAGAATAAATCTTTTACACCAAGTGCACATACTGTAAGTTCAAATGCACTTTCGCTTTAACTTTAGAATTGCTAATCAGAAGCGTATAGTAGAGAGTATCCATGAGCAGGCCTCTTTGTTCCATTGGGCACCCTGGACCTAGGTCCTGCCAGATTTAAGCATTTAATGCTAAAAGAATTACCTTTCCGAATCTTATAATTATCTATTAATTTATTTTGATTGTACAAAAATAAAACTAATTGTTGAATAAATTTATAATTTTACCCTGTTTGGCTATTTAAAAAAACTAATCCTCTGTCAAAGTCATAGCGCCTCGTTATCCTTATGTGCTCAGAACCTCTAACGGATTAGAGTCGGTCCTGTCCGACCTATAGAGTATTTATTAAACTTACGACCAAACCTGAAGGGGCTTCCCTGAACTATTCTAAAAGTATTTTGCTCTTTTAAAATTTTTGGAAATCTGAAAATGCAAGGCGATAAATGTTTTTTGACAATGGCAATGTTTTATTATAAAAATATTAAATATAAAGAACGGTTGAAAATGATTTTANAAAATTTAAATTATATACTTTAATATTAGAGCCAGCAATAACAATGAATTCTATGTTCGATCTTGTTCGGATTAACTGACCTAATTAAATTAAAAAAAAGAATATTTAATTCAGAACAAGAATAAATCCTTTACACCAAGTGCACATACTGTAAGTTCAAATGCACTTTCGCTTTAATTTTAGAATTGCTAATCAGAAGCGTGTAGGAGAGAGTATCCATGAGCAGGCCTCTTTGTTCCATTGGGCACCCTGGACCTAGGTCCTGCCAGATTTAAGCATTTAATGCTAAAAGAATTACATTTCCGAATCTTATAATTATCTATTAATTTATTTTGATTGTACAAAAATAAAACTAATTGTTGAATAAATTTATAATTTTACCCTGTTTGACTATTTAAAAAAAACTAATCCTCTGTCAAAGTCATAGCGCCTCGTTATCCTTATGTGCTCAGAACCTCTAACGGATTAGATTCGGTCCTGTCCGACCTATAGAGTATTTATTAAACTTACGACCAAACCTGAAGGGGCTTCCCTGAACTATTCTAAAAGTATTTTGCTCTTTTAAAATTTTTGGAAATCTGAAAATGCAAGACGATAAATGTTTATTATGTAAATATTAAATATAAAGAACGGTTGAAAACTATTTTATTTTTTTTTTCAGATTGACTAAACTTCCTGGAGAGGCTGCTTCCCAAAAGGTAGGTAGTTATTTTTATATTAAGGATTTCCGCAATTTTTAGATTTAAGGATTATAGAAACTCTTTTTTCAATTATATACAGTGTAAACTCTATATAACGACACTTAAAGGACTGAACATTTTTCAGCGTTATAAAGAGTGGTCGTTAAATGGAGACAAATAAAAGATATTATTTTACTATTCTATAATAATATGCATTTACCAATATAGTACACATTTTGCACACGAACATTATTATTCATACATTGCGTATAGCCTGTTATCTTCGTCTGATGTTTTTTGCTGCTCCAATATTATAATTGTATTTTGTTACGTATCTTACTCATATCTTGAGATACTGCTGGATCAATTTGATTATATAAAAAGTATTTTTTTAATAGTTTCGCTGCATCAAGTGCTTGTTTGATGCTTGGTGGAGGGACAGGATCGACTTCTTCAACAACGTACACAGCTGCAGTTCTTATCTAATTCGAAAACTTAGGAAGTACTTCTTAATGATTTATAATGCCTCATTGTTGTCGTTAAATAGAGTAAGCGTGACGCTATATAGAGTGTAATATTGTATAGAAAACAATGTAAACCAACCAAAGTCAAGCAATTTCGACGTTTTAAGGAGTTTGTTGTTAAATCGAGTGACGTTATAAAGAGTTTACACTGTATTATGTATCATCAATGATGAAATATCGCGAATATGAACTTTCCACTTTCAGCTTTTTCCTTTTATTCTTTTATTCTCGTTTTAGTGAAAATTATCTATAGATATTATTGGAAGCAGTAATTATATTTAAAGATAATTAATTACTGAAACTGCAATGAAATTGTAGTATTTTACATCAGTCTAATGTTCAATCGAACATGTATTTATTTATTGAACGTGTATTTCCCCAAAGTAACAAGAATTTCCTTGGTACCAAACTTTCTATTTTACCTTGCAACCGAACAAATTCAATAAATGCGTACCGGCTTCAGTTAAAAACCTACCCAACTGAAAGAGAAAACATTATATGCGCGACTAATTTATTGATGGAGGTACAGGCAACGGGAAAACAGATCTATTTATTTGCATAGTGTCAAGGGAAATTTTCATGCATACGTTTGCAAAATTGGTTGTACAATTAACTTTATAAAATTTCCCTTTTAAAAGGCATATTTATTTTGGTGGAATTTCACCTTTGATGTTTTTACATCTTTTCAAAATATGTTGCACAATCTGTGTACAAATCGTTGCCGTAGTCACGGTTCTAAATTTTTTGTGAGATATAAATAATAAGTGACATCAAGTTTCTTGAGTACGTATGTGTAATGTGTATTGATGAACAGAGACCTCATTACTTGTTCAAATACAATAAAATCGATAACGTCCTTAACATCGCAAGGGAATTTTTTGTACAGTCCTTGAATATTTTTAAGTTTTGTTGTATTCTTAAACAATTATAGATCGTCTACTTTCGTCGAGCTTACAGAAGCACACAGTTAAGTTGTTTAATAAAAAATTATCGAACATCATTCAGACGCGATTCTTCCTGATTTAGATTGCTTTCGTGCTGAGCCTGAGCAAATTCTTGGCTATCGTCCTTACGATAGACATTTGAGGCTGAAATTGAATTGTCCGGCAGCGTATGTATGTTTTATTGATCTATAAAGCCAACAGCTCCTTTTGTTCGCAGATGAAAACCACTACTTTTCCTTTGAAATGTTTGTTTTCTGGTCATTCTATTCACATTCGTGTATTGGTTCGAGTTCTTTTTTAGATACGTATCATTGACAATAACGAACAGAAAAAAGGGGTTTTAAATAGGAAAATACAGTTCTATTTTATTCCTAATAATATAAGGCTTAATTTAGAAATTCGAAAAAGGTTGTTAAAGGTGTATGTTTGGAGCGCGGCGCTGTACGGGTGCAAAACAGTGGGCGCGGCGGAAAAGAAAAGGTTAGAAGCGTTCGAAATGTGGTGTTACAGGCGAATAATGGGGATAAAGTGGTAGGTTAGATTACTGTTCACAAATAGTTAAGGATGTGGGTTGTTCTAGTTTTAGCGAAATGCGAAGATTAGCTCACGATAGGGAAGAGTGGAGGTGTCCCACCAGTCTTAGGACTAACGAGACCTTATGATGATGAATATAAGGCTAGGATCACATGGCGATTCCACCAGATTTATATAAAGCACCGAATCCACGACAGATGTAAACCTAGCTTAATATTCTTATGTACTATGTTTAATAAAACCAATAATTCACAGACGCACGAGTGATCCTATAAGGATTTCTTATTTCCTTTTGAGATTAAAAAAAAAGACAAAATCGAATACCTGATTACATTTTTATCGTCCTCTACCTTTTCTGCAACATAATTCCCATTAAATTACAAATAATTTCCGATTATTTATTTATAAGGATGGATATAGGTTTTATCTATGCATTCCATGGTTCTTTTATAAGATTATTTCTTCACAGCTCGGGTACCAAACAAAGTTGGGAACTTCATTCCCTTTTACCATATTCTAATAAAATTTACTGTTTGTTAACTAGGGACTTTCTACGTTCCAAGATTTACACGTTGGGCTGTACAAAAAATCCGTAAATCAACTTCATCTTTTGATGGTTCGTAAATTACGAATTTAGTTTTGGCAAGTTTACTAGTTTAAATCTACCTTGGCAGTCAATTAAAGAAGCCAAGTTTAAATTTCTAAATGTGTGGGGAAATTTTGCAGTTTGACGTATGCTAATGTAACAGAATAATGTTACATAACATTTATAATAACTAATACTTACATGTATTATACGTAGTTCAAAATTGCTTTGTACCTAATTGAAAACTTCAACAGCAGTTGTAATTTTAGTAAATATCTGCATATAAGCATAAAAATTTCTTTTGGAAATGATTATCTGAGTCTCTCAATATGAAGGAAATTCACATTAGAGCAGATGAAATGTGACACAATGGGATACATTTTACCAAGATTCCTCATCAATCCATTGTACTATCTTCCCCACTGATATATTAAGATTTTTTCGATTAGACGCAATCAGAAAGGGATGAAATGTTCTTTACTGATTATGTAATCACCATCGACGTTTCGCTTTTCTATCTAAGTATTTATCGGTATATTACTTAGTTAATTAATTATATTAGACGGAGACATTAGAATTTTATTGTTTTNCTTATTTACGGTTTCCTTATTTTGGCCGCAATAGACTGCCAATACTGTGAATTTTTCCGAAAATATGGGTGTCTATTCTAAACATTGTGATTAAACGTTGCTAGATAAATATCTGATTTTTTGTATGGTAATAGACAAAGGTTCACACTAACTTGGCACGTTTTTAATTTTCAATAATATGGTCATTAATAGCTTTTACAAGTGCTTAAAGTTGATGCTTCTTGTAGAACACGTATTTTCAATAGAAATTAAGAAATTAAAAAATGACCTTCGACAGGCTTTAGAACAAATCTTTATCTATTTTACTACAAAATTTCAAACCTCTGTTCCAAACATTAAACTCATGATATCTAGAACCGATAGGCATGTTTTTATTTTACGGCGTGTGTACCACTGAATCAGCTTAATGTATCGGCATCTTTTGACTATGTACTGTTGGTACGTGTCGAGGCAGCTTTTATAAAAGATGTAACCGAGTGGACTAATTTGAAAATTCAAAACAAGAAAAAATCATTCAATTTTTTAAACTTTTGCCTAAAGCTGATTATAACGATTAGTTTTAATTGCGAATTTATCAATACATTGATTTTATTTTTATACATATTGGTTTTATTTTGGAACCTTAGAACGTATCCCCTATGATTCCATACTAGTTACCATTCCATATCCACGGTTTCTGTATTCGCGGCATTTTTATGGAACGTATACCCCGCGAATAAAGAGCTTTTACTGTATTTAATTAACTGATCGAAAGAAATCTACCTTGTCCTTTACATTATACTTATGTAGGTACAGATTCACCATCGGTTTGGTTTCAGTAAACATTCCTTGTGAAATTCCAAATTGCAACATATTCATCATCTTTCTTTACTTTCCCCGACTTTACAGTTATCTCCTTTTGTAGTTGCATATCGTGGGCATTAATTTATTGTAGAAATTTTGCATGCAACTTACAGTTTAGCCCGTGAGTTATAATCGTTATTAGGTGCGGCTAATAACAACAGACCATCAGCGTTTTCTATCCAATTTAAACTATTTCTATCCAACGCTTACCAACCCATTATCTATAATTAGATCGTCTGTGTGCAATAAATGCGCTTTCGCAAGAAAAACGCTTATCATGTTCACTATCAGCTTTGTTATTGTTAGCGTTTCGAGTTCTGCATGCAGCAAATGTGTAAATGTTAACTGTAAATAACAAAGGAGTAGCACGTCCCTCTTGAAAACAAAAGGATTTAAATTGGATATTGAAGCAAATTGTGGAATGGGTGCCAACTTGAGGCATATTAAACTGCAGTCAAATTTTTTGTATATGCTCTGCAACCAGTTAAACAAAACGTGTTCACAGCTAATCATTTCTTCTTTAATCACGTAATTTAGTACGTGGACGTATGGAGTGCAATATTTATAGCTAGTCAATTGGTTTTTATGTTAAAAAATGATCGATTAATAAGCCTAGAAATTGTAGGGAACATTTTTCAGTTTTTAGTTCCTTTTAGGTGGTGTGTGTAAACTACAGCGCGTCTTAATTGTCTTCTATCTTTGGATTTCTCCCTAAGTGCGGTGATTATGTTAGGTTAGGCTAGTTAGCTGCTAAGCTGCTCTAAGTACCCTCGTACACTACTTCAAGTAACAAGTATCATGTACTAAGAACTTCTATAAATTCAAGCTACTACTTTAAGGAGATACGAAGTACATGGTTTCATAAAATTCATGTGAAAGTCCAGTGTGAGTACTACTGGAATTACCAATTTTAATTGATAAGTACCTGAGTAATTATATCGTTATTATTTCAAATACATTTCTCTAAGTTCAAGTGCCTTATATAGTAATAAAAGTA